TCTGTAAAGGCTCACGTTGATTCCACAGTGGAAGACACTGCCAGCATCCTGATACCTGATTTTTTAAAGAGCTTAATCGGATGAATAATGCAGCCACATGAGGGTGAAGGTGCTGAAGGAGTTGTCTTCCAAAAAGCTCCAAAGCACAGCACGACACCCTACGGCAGCAAGTTAGTCGCTGCGGTTTCCCCAAAACACTGTGATCCTGACATTAGAAATACAGCACCGCCCAGATATGCATATAGCTGGCACGTTTTGAGAATGTATATACACACAGACGCACTCACTTATTCATGCATGCAGGTTTTAGGGGTGTATCGAGGGGATTCTGTGTGTTTTTAGAGAGGCTTTATAAATAGATCAAAGGACTACAGCAGCCAGAGATTCACATCAGACTGGAATACCAAGTGAGAGATAAAACAGAGCAAGTAGGCACTGTGTCACATCTCTACAGACTTACAACCACTACAAAAACCGTGTTGGTCTTGACACTGGAGATGAAGATCTGAATGACAACTAAAGCCTTACAACCGTGTCGGAGTCTTATATTATGGAATGTGCCGACTAATTAGAGAAACACAACAACACACACCCTTTCTTTGATGCCGTTTTTCTTGCGGTTGAGGCACATCTCTGTGGTTCTCATATGCTGCAGGGTTTCTTTGGCCAACAGGAAGCGTAGTTTCTCCAGTCTGGGAGCTGCAGACGCCCAGGCAGCAGCTCCAAAACGACGCTTGTCTTCTTCCATCTGCTTTAACATACCTGAACATGCACACAAGTGTCACGTTATGTCTGCGTTTACACAAAGCACATATATATTAACATGGCCACAAAACACAATATAAGAATTGGAGGAAAAATAGGCAGACACACACTTTGGGACAATGTTAACACTCCCCCTTGTGAGTTTTGGGAAGGTGGTCCCGTACTGTAACTCTCTTGTATCTTGCTGTAAACGTTTGACTACATTTCCTCAGTCTCCAGCATCTTTTATAAATGTTAACATGATTTTCCCATTCTAAGTGACAATGAAAATCGTTACTGACTAGTCTTAAATATATGTTACGTTATAATGTATGGAATAAAGCGGTTAATGATATCCTGTTCTGAAATCTACAGCATAAACCAGTGTTATCTATTTCATTATTTAATGACAATACCATCTAAAACAACATGCAACTGGCTAAGATACCAATGTATATTAAATTGTAATGCGCATAATGGAACTTTACAAAGACATACACAGACTTTTGATATCGACATCATATATTGCCTGATGATATACAGCATGATGTTTATCCTACAGCACAATTATCTAGTAATTATTTAAAGTGTTTGTTAACACTTCTATTTCCTTTTAGATTAACATGACAATATATATTTTTTTGTGGAATTATGATGATTTGAATATTAGATTAATAATAATAATTAATAATAAAAGTTGCAATGCCGTTTCCGACTCTACTACGCTTCATATCATATACTTCATATTAATTCATCCATACACAAATAAGAGAAATAAACACAGCAACTTATACCAGCCAGAGCCTTTGAAGTCTGTGCAAAGTAGGTGACAGTGATGTCCTGAATTGAGGCGACTGCGTCTTCTGCTTTCGTCCTCCACTCCTCCGCCTCCTTCTCCAGAGCTGTAATTCTCTTAGGACCCAAGTCCTCAAACTCCAAAGACTTCTGCAGAGAACCATGGTGAGCAAAACAGTGGACAGCTTTAATGCAGACTTCTTACCGATACTTAACCCACATACATACAAATGAGAACTTAAGTCAAAGATAGTTCGGTGAGAAAATAAACCACTAATTAATCACTCCACCACCATGTATAGGTGTGTGTCTAGACCACGATGGAGAGATGAAACAGGCTCAGCAGTTACAAATGAAACCACTAAGACTGAAAAGGAACCTGTAGTGCTCACTCAATGATATATAGTGTATACACGTGTTAGATTCTCACTAACAAGGAAGGCTACATATAAGTGGTTACACAGTCATACTAATGGTGGGAGGGAAACAACTGCGAGCATATAAATACAAAATGGCACTGCTAAATGTGTATTTGTATTAAATGTGGCCAAATCTGTATGCAGACCTTTGAATGAGATTCAGGATGTCGTTTACAATTTTTCTCGTATCTAAATATTCTATACAACCATTTAGCACATCCTAAAAAAGCCCAAAGCTGCTAAATGTAAGTCTGTATTTACCAGGATCTCCATCTTATAGAGGCAGGCCAGCTCTCGCATGTCCCTGAAAGGCTGGAGCAGATACTGGAAGAAGGTGGTTGCCACAGTGACCAGGTCCTGGTAGGCCTCATCCTCCTCCTCGTAGATGCTGAGCAGCGCAACCATTCGGTCAGCGCTGCCGTGACTCTGCAGCAGCTGCAAACGTGGAAGACATAAACACATTTAGTCTTTGCCTTGGAGAAAAAGGCATGTCACAAAACATACACAAACCTGTACAATGTTATTCCCTGTCCTCTTGAGGGGGACAATATGAGGTTTAATAGTAAGTTATACTGCTAATTAAAGAGGTCCAGTGTGTAACATTTACAATCTATTACCAGAAATGTAATATAATATTCATAGGTATGTTTTCTTTAGAGTATAATCACCTGAATATAGGCATCTTTGTGTTTTTGTAAGCTTAGAATGACACGTTTTCATCTACAGATACCGTAGGTTGGCGTCCATAGAGTCTGCCGTGTTTCTACAGTAGCCCAGCATGGACAAACCAAACACTTTGCCACTGTAGTTTCTATTACATTCTCACGGTCGTCAAATACAGACACTAGCCGCCAATCCACAACAGCTTCAGCCGTTAGAATGACCCACTAAGAGATCCTAGTCACGAGCTGGTCCTCCTTAAATCTTCGGCTCTGCAAAGTCTCAACAAAACATCATATATGTGGCATTTACCGCATCACTATTTATATATAGTATTGGATCACATTAGAGATTACTGATCCTCCGCACTTATTCCAGTGTCTCTTATCTCTGGGCTTTAAATGTGGAGTTGCTGGCTGCGGTTATACTGCGAGGCATCTCCCTCACCGTGTTATTTACATGTTGGAAAACGGAGAGTCAAGTCACTTGAATTCAAATGCAGGCAAAAAACTCACTGGCTGAAAAGTCAAATCAGTGCTGGTGGTGTTGCAACACTCAGAGCTTTGACTGTAACTCACAAACAGAAAGGTTTTGCTGTGTCATAGCAGGCCTGCCCTCAGACTTGTACAACCACTGCGTTGTTCTAGTCAGGCAGGATATTTTATCTACTTTTCAGTATATTATATTATATATTATAAGA